TTAATTTTTAAAAAAAAAAAGAAAAAAAACTAAGTTAGACTAAGATACAAATTCAGACGTACCACATATCCCCATCCATAGCTGTTCCATCCTCACATGGAAGATCAAGCTGGGAAAAAAGCGGTAGAAGAATCTGAATTCCGCCAACAGACCGTAATGAGTTGTGTATCGAATGGGTTGTAATGACCTCGACACCCTGGAAAAGTTGAAATACTCTCAATATCAACACTGTAGTCTCTCGACTAATTGAATAAGAAGATACGAAAAAAAATTTCTCATGTGACAACGATGATCCAGAAATGCTCTTACTTCTTTCATAACAGCATGCGGGACTTGCACGAAATATGTGGACGGCACTTTTGATGGAGAATTCAGACATAGTTGTCCATGACAGTTCTTCGGACAATATGCCATTACAAGAACACTGCTCAGTCGACCATCAAATAGATGCTAGAAATAATTTCTCTTGATTAATCAGTAACTTCCCCCATCACTATGTTACCTTCTTATAGCCGTCAGGTAGAGTACTTCCCGAGTCATGAACAAAATATGATTGATATCCAGGTCCCAGGCAAAATAACGAATTCGCTTGTTCCAGCGATAAAGAATCAGCAAACAGATACACGGCACCCATTTGCCCACAGAATGCTGTGTCAGGATCTCCTTCAGGCGATACGCCTATAGAACAGCGATCAAATTGTTCTGTTGTTGAAACAGCCCTGAAATATTCAGGTTCAGCTGCAAATTCTAGAATCTTATCAATCCAAAACGCTTGAACTTCTTGCTTGAAAATTTATTTGCTAGTTTAGAGCGAATATCTGCTATATCTGTGAATATCACGAGTCTATTCTATCAGCATAGATTTAGAATTTTATTATAGAACCTCAATTCAAATAAAGCAACAACTGTAAATATGTTTACATTTCGCTACCAGTACGCATGTAATTACCGGGTGGAAATAAGAGTAGGTCTCCGTTAGACAGCCTAGTCTTTAAAAAATAAGGGAACGTTCTG